AGGTAGCTAATAAATAGTAAGTGAGACAATAATAAAAAGAATACTAAAAATTTACGAGGTTCGACAAAATTTGATTTTTGCCTAGTCCTCGGACACAATCAACTCAAACTTTATTTCACTCCAAAAATACAAGTGAAATACTACAAGAGAGAAAGAAGATTCAAATGCCTTAGGAGTAAGAAGGCAAGTGAGAGATATTTACAAATAAATAAAACCCTTGCTATTTATAAAAGGAAAATGGTCTTAATAATGCCATGCATGACATCACATTAAGTGTGATCATACAATGTAAATGCATGAAAAAATGCATCTACCAATTTTCTCCTAAAAGGAGACTTCCAAATGTTCACATTAATCTTGTCAAATTCAACAGTTTTTACATACCGAATAGAATTCTTAAGAGAAACACAGAGTTTAAATTAAAGCAACAGGGTTCGATGAACCCATAAATAGTACACTACCTCTGCCTCTGATCACCCACACATCATCAATCCGTCGCATTTCCTCTATTAGTTTCTCGTGGGGATTCGGTCTATAAACCTTTGAGAGGGGCACTCATATGCCTGTAAGTAGGGGTGTACATGGACCGGGTTGGTTCGGTTTTTATTAAAACCAAACCAAACCAACTATATCGGTTTGGATTGTTTTGGTTTTGTCAAATTTTTTGAATTTTCCGGGATTAATTTTTTGTCACATGAATAATATGTCAATCTTACTTTATTAAATTTTTGATAAGTAAAAATATTTTTAATAAAAATTAAAAAAATTGACGAACATATGATCTATTAAAATATTCTTTTGGAAGAATTTTCTTAGTAGCACATGATCTAAATTTTAGTTGTTTGACAATAACTTTTCGTTGACGTACAATTTCAAGGTTAATCGGATTTAATAATTAAATATAAAAATCAATATGATGCCTAAATAATGATATGTTCTATTTTAAAGAAAACTCTATATAAAGTCTTAAAAGTATATATAAAAATTATATATTTATATGTCGGTTTGGTTCAGATTTTTTTACTCATTACCAAACCAAATCAAACCAAATATATCGGGTTTTTTAATCGATTTGGTACGATTTTCCCGTTCGGTTTATACACCCCTGCCTGCAAGCATGATTATTTTTTTTTGACAGAATAAGAAATATTTATATTCATGCTTAAAGATGTCAGAGATATTACAAAAACATAGAAATGTCTTCCAAGGCATTTTGGTACATATACTATCCGATATTGTTTTCACAGTATTTGTAGAACGAAATATAGATCCTACTAATGGAGGAGAACCGTAAAGGGAGTTGTTTTGTTGATGTTGGACTGACTAGAAGCTTCTTCTTTGCCAAAATGTGAGCTACTTTATTGCCCGCAAGCATGATTTCGACATACATTGACTCCTTCACCACCAATTGCTTTGGCGACCCCAAAAATTTCGCTGTTTAAGATTTCCTACGAAAGAGAAAAGTAAACGTTTCATACACACTGGAGTGTTAGAAAAGTTAAACTTACCCTTCACCACGAGTGAGTTGGTGGCAGGATAAAAGGAGTGAATGCATTTACCAAAATTTATGTCAATGTGATTGTCAATTCTATTAAAACTTTACGTCATGTCCACTAGCTAACTTTCAAACGTAGAATTTATCAGCTTTACAAAGTCTATACATGGGATACTTTCTATGTTAATTTCCTCTTCTGTGAACAAAGGAATATGGATTAATATGTAAGCCAAAGGATCTTGAAATATTACTCACTTTATATATATTATTTCATCTAAAACTAAAGCATGGTAAAAGTGCACATCTTAATTTATTATTACTAGTCTATAGTACGCGAGTTGCGCGTGTACCCGTATCAATGAGTATAAAGTTTAAAAAATTACACGACTAATATTATTAAACAATATGTTTAGGTTACAAAATAAAAATTAAAGAAAAATGTAAGTTTCTTGAAAATAATAATATTGATCCTATCGATTAGCTAATTCAATCAAGAAATAAATCATGTCCCGCTAAAGTCATTAGTTTTCTTAATAATTATTTTAATGTATAATTATATTTGTTTTAGAAGTTTAGAGAAAGTGGTACAATGTTTATTTGTACTCATTCCGTTTGTAATAACATTTTACTTGTCTATAATATTTACAGTTCTCTGCGAGGAAATAACTTTAAAAGAATATTGTAAGTCTACATTTCTATGGAGATGAATAACATCTTTAATGTGAGGATCACCAATATTGATAACACATATAGAACAAAACAAAATGATTTTTTTTTCATAATTGACTCTGTAGCACTAACTCTCCTTATGGTTTGCGATTACGCTTCCCTCCAGCTTGTTTTATTAATTACAGTCTGACCAATTCGACCTCTCTTCTTCTTAGTTAATATTAGCAATTTCGTTTTTAAGAAAATCATCACCAAAAAGTTATTCCTATACTTAGGTTAATGTAGTTCACGCCAAATAAATCCTTAATTGATATTTATATACAAAAATTGACTTTGCAGCTGGAGCAAATTAAGAGGCATAATGAACAATTTATTACTACCTTTTCAAACAATTCAAGATAAATATAATATTTTTGTTAGTTTGATATTATTTTAATGTATATGTTTCAATATTGTCTTAACATAGATCTAATTATGTTCCATTCAAAATACGTTCGTGTTTTAATTAAGTAATATTTTGATTCCCTTAGGATAAATAGTATTAAGGTTCAATTTTCAAAGAAAAAAACAAATAAGGAAAAGTAACGTGAAAAACTCCTAAATATTAGGATTGAGCAAAAGTACCATGAAATATATTATGGTTACCCTAGATAGATCAAATAAGGAATGAATCTAAATAAATAAATTTTTTTGTTGATTTTATGTCTTAAATACTTTTTACTTAGTTCAAGTAATTTTATAACCTAAATTTTCGTTGATTCAAAATACTAAATATTAGGAATATACTTTAAATTACAATTTTGTCCAATGTAAAATATGTTTTTAAAAGGTAAAAAAGACGAACGACATTTCGCTAAGAGCATTCGTGCTTTTAATATAGTATATAATAATTATTATTATTAGTATTAGTATTAGTATATTCTGTAATTACTTTCAATGTTTTCACCGACCTTATCTTCCAATAATTCCAACATTGCGATTCCCTATGATTGAAAGAAAAATAAATAAAATAATAAGAAGGTGAAAAAAGCAAACAAAATTTGTCATTTGCCATTTTGCCATCCGAACCCAAAGCATTGGAAAATGACGAATATAGTCTATTGTCTTTAGGATTGATATAAACTAGTCCCTTAAAGTTACATTTTAGTAGTTTTAGTTCTTTATGTTTATTAGAACTAACGCCTATGTTATATTGGGACGGACATCTCTAGATTGAAAATAATCTTATTCAACCCAATTGAACGCACCAAACAGTTTTTTTTTCTTCTAAATTCCATTATTTGAAATAGCGAAGGAATCAATGTTTATGTCTAAATCAAATCATTATTTGTTGTTGAAGCACTAAGGTCGAGTTATTTCTTTAGGTATGTATTCGGGTAAATGAATCGAAAAAGTCCATTCAATTTTTGTATTTTTTTTTTTAATCTTAAACAGATTACCTACTCCTCGCAAGTCAATTCCATCATATTAGAGTAAATTTTATGGGTGGTCATTCAACTTTGTATTTATTACCAAAAAGTTATTTTTCTTTCTTTTGTAACGTAAAAGTCATTCAACTTTATGTTTATTACCCAAAAGTCATTTTTCTTTCTTTTGTTACACAAAAATTATTTTACTATGCTCTAGTTATCACAATAATCACTTTGACCAGATTTACAAATCTTTCATCTGAAAAGTCTATTATACCCTTGGCATTATAAATCATCTCATTTATGTAATACATTCTATATTATATACTTTTACCAAGGTATTTTACTTAAAATTAAAATAACTTGATATTATTTTATTTATTATTTTTATAATATATTCGGACATTTAATTTTTTCTTAACATTAATTTTCAAGATATATAAGTAGCATTATTAAATTGTCAGTAATATTACCGTGAATAAATCTCAAGCCCATGTTCTTAACCATGCCTAATAAAATATTTTTAATGAAAATTATAAAATTAAAGCTCACTGATTTATCAGCCAAGCCATACTCATTAATCCAGTAAATAAAATACCCACATTTAGCACAATGACACATCAAATTAATACTTTTAAATAAATAGTACTAATAGATAAAGTTTTTAAAAATTTAATATTAAACACAAATATCTCTGAAACTTTTTTAAAAATTTTATTGACTATAAAAAACTATCATTTGTTAAACAAATTTGTTTATTATTACTTCAAATAAATAAAAATTTGTTTAAATATGATTAAACAAATTGAGTGCCATGAAAAAATTAAATGTGTGAATATATTATAAAAATAATTAATAAATAATTTTAATTGTTTTAATTATACATAAAATACCTAGGTAAAAATATATTATATAGTATAAAACATATATGGTGTATCACATAAATGAGAGGATTTATAATGTCAAGGGCATAATAAACTTTTCAAGTGAGTATTATAAAATCTGGCCAAGGTGAATTTTGTGATAAATAGAGCAAAGTAAAATGATTTTTGTGTAACAAAAGGAAAAAAAATGACTTTTAGGTATTGAACATCATGTTGAATAATTTTTACGTAACAAAAAGAAAAAAAGTGACTTTCGCGTAATGAATACAAAGTTGAATGACTATCCATAAAATTACTTACTAAATTACTGTAGTGTTCTTTTAGATATAATATAGGCAAAAAATTGCCAATATGTGATAAATTGAAGGACTATTTTTTAAATCAACTCCCAAAAATTAGGGACTATTTTATGCTTTTCTACCAAAGCATACTCGTTACTATTATAATAAAATAAACTAAAGTACGCAAAACGAAGCTGTTTGGGGAAGCAACCGTATAATGTAAAAAAGACGTTAAATTCATATATTCTTCCGCCATAAACAATCAACAAAAACAACTAATTTCTTAACCAACAGAAGGCACCATTCTTAGCTTGAATCTCGCTTTTCTCTCATTTTTCCTCATCAGTCCACAGCCACCATTTTCAAAACTCCTCTTAATTAATTCATCCCTCTCTTTTTCTTTACTGTAGAGAAGATTAAGATCAATACTTTGTTTTTTGTTTTTTTGCTCGCAAAAAGCAGGTTTCTGATAGGGAAATTTTGCGATTAAGTGATGCGAGCAAAATTTTGAAGAAATTAATTGATGGCTGCTGCTGTTAAGCGAGTGATTCCATTAGGTGTTAATTATGGAATTAACTTATCCAAATTACGAGGAAATTATAATGTGTCCAATTTTCCTGCAGCTTCCTTACTTGTAAATAGATCCCAATATTGCACCGATGGCTATAATGTCAAATTTTACGGTTCGCGATCTTCGAAATCTTTTGCTCATAACAAGTTTGATTATAGGAAGATGTCGCAGCTGGTTAAAGCTAATGGCAAGCGTGCATTTCTCGTTGATACCTTAGCTCTGGTAATTTTCGCATTTTGTTTCTCCATTGTCTATTTTTGTTTTTATTTTATTGTCATCTTCATTTTTTACATTGCATTTTTACCTACGGAAGGGAAATCCATAAAGATTTGTTCGATTATAGTGCATTCTACAATCTATTTTTATTTTTATTTTTATTTTGTCTAGTATTAATATTGTTGGTTTGACATTGCTAGCGAGGATTCATTTAGCTGACCGCAATTCTTATTTGGATTGAAGCGTAGCAGTAGTAGTAGTAGTTGTTGTTGTTGTATTTTTATTTTTATTTTGTGTAGTATTAATATTATTGATTTAAGATGAGCTTAAATAGAGCGACATTGTTTGTGAGAATTCATATAGCTGATCACCGCAATTCTTATTTGGATTGAGGCATAGTAGTAGTAGTTGTTGTTGTTGTTTACCCTCAAAATCGGATAACAATTGAATTTGTAAGTGGTTTTAAGGATACGTAGATTAACTTGACACAAAACGATAAATTAGATTACAATTGAAATAAAATGGTAAAGTAAATGCAAACCACACGAATTGGGTAATTTCAGCCTTAGAAGGTTAGCCACCCTCGAGCCGAATGTACTTCGATCCATATCAAGACACAGAAGAATAAGAGCTTAAAGAGAATAATGATGTATTGCTTTGGAATGCGTGTTACCATATGTTTTACAAGTAATTAGACCCCACTTTATATAGTAGGGGAGTCCTACATTAGGTACAACTCTATAAAAGTCCTCTAATTAACTGATTGCCGATCTCTTATTGATACGTGCCGAGATCTCCGCCGTGATATTCGGTCGGTCACGAATATCACGGCCTTCTGTTGGCCGAGCTTGACTACCTGACAACGTTCTTCGAAGTTAATCGAGGCTAGGGACCGATCCCGAATCACGGCCCCGACATCCTCGAGGGCGGGCGTTATGGTACGGACTCCAAATTGATGAGATTTCTACCTTGATCTAAGCTCCCCTGTTACCATATCTCGAGCTTGACTTATCATGTCGAAGACCGGAATGTACTATGAGACCGGTTCTACCCGTATACAGTTGTTATATTTAGGAAGTTGGTATGTTTGACAGGTTAAGAGTTTAGAAGCACAAGGTGTACCTTCAAAGCAAGCAGAGGCAATAACATCTGCTATCACCGAGGTTCTAAACGACAGCTTGGAAAATATCGCTTCTTCTTTCGTTTCACTAGCTGAAATGCAGAAAGTAAGAGATGTTCCACAGATGATATCTTTTTGTTTTTTATAACAATGTGCCATTATTAAACCAATATGAAAATGTTATTTTGTGTGTTTGTCTCTGTAGTCTGACTTGGTACAAGAAGCCAATCTTTCCAAGTTCAAATCCCAAATACAAAGTTCTCAGGTAAATATATTCTAGTATTGAATTTTCAGAAGGTTTCATCCCTTGATGATTAGAGAACTATTTTTGCTGTTTCTATAGTAAGATAGCTGCTCATTAACCAAAGGATCCGAAAAGAAAGAAAAAGTTTAGCTCCTAAGCACAGGTTCTGCAAAGTGCCACGGCGGTTCATTTCTTAGTCCAGATATTGATTCATAAAACCTCTTCACTTTTACTGTAGAAATTTTTAAGCTGAGTGAACTATCTACACTTACAGCACGGAATTTTTGAAATGTTCTTTCTGTTGGAGCGGATCTAATTCTAGAACTTATCATTTGGCATGATTGCAAATATCCATTTAAAATGCAGTTAACTTGGGCTACTCATCACCTTAGTCATTTACTTGTGTTTTGATCAAAATCCTATCAGAAAGAGCTACCGCAAGAAGTTCACTGAACTCGTCTTTAGAGGTCTAAACACAATCGTGCAAATATTTTCTCAAAATTCTTGTAGTGGGCTCCTACATAGTTCCTACGTAATTTTTTTCATAAATAATACTCCACTGGTTGAAGATTGTAGTTTGATACCCGTTCTTCAAGCCTTTTCTGACATTTTCTGGATGAATTTAATTTAAACTGTATTTTCAAAAGACTGTCAATGTAGTTTCAGATACCCTTTCCTTGATTTTCTTGGAAAAGCTTATCCCTCTTATTCAAGAGTTCGTTTAAAGTCAAGAATTTGAGACACTTATTTTGATCTGAAAGTTCATAAGTATCCGAAAGTATCATTCCTTTGGTATTCCTCGGGTAGGTTCTAATAATATATCCAAATTCAGAAAAGTTATTTCTCTCGGAAGCTATTGCTTGGCTCAGATTGCATATCCTTTAATCAAGTGGAGCCTCATCCACAATGTTATGAATGGTTCAAAGGAAGAGCCAAAAATCTAGTTAAGCTTGCCAATAGGAAGAATGCTGGACTATGTGACATTCGCATCTAAGGATTGCTAGTTAAATTTAGAACATCAGTGCAACCAAATCTTTATCTCTAGGATACAGCAACAGTCTCTGCTTAACTGGAAAAAATCTTAAAGGAGCAACCCATATATGTACTTCAGGCTGTTTATTAAATCTTCTACTACAGAGCTATTCTAAAGTAATGTTATCTTACCGATGGTATATATGGAAGTGTGTTGGCTTGAAATGAAGTTTGGCCTTGTCCATATGGCTGAATTGTTCAGTAGATTTCTGTAGCTAGTTAGTGATGTCTTAGCTTCTGATCATTTGCATAAAAGTGACAAAAGCGATTTTGGAACTTTATATGTTGGACTGATGATTATTGCATTACTTTCATGTGCTTAATTTAATGTTTGTAAACTTGCAATTACTAATTGAGTTTGATACTGAAGTTCTCCATTGTAGGAAAATCATTTTTCCCTGTTGCAACATGAAACTGAAAAGCTTCGGAATGACATTGAAAAAGTGCGTAGCGAATTGAGGTACATCTGAATCGTGGGAAATTTGATTTTTACCTTCATTTGCCAGCTTTGTGAACCACTTATTAGCTGATATAGGTATGAGATTGATAAACTTACTGCTGGTCAACGTTTGGATTTAAATCTCGAAAGAGGGTAAGACTTTGAGAGTTCCTGTCCAATGATGATGCTTTTTAACATTTTTCAACTCCATAATAAATCAATGATTAGCTATGGCTCATCTTAAGTTGCAATTGGTTGCAGAAGCATTCGTGATGAGCTCGCCAAGCAGAATGCAGAAACCACCAACCTTACTAACAAGCTAGATCGAGTAAGTGTTTGTTCTTGCTTACAGTAATAAAATGTAGTACTAATATGCACGGACAGTGTAAAAGAGATTGTGTACGGTCAGAACCGATTGAGTCAGTCGTATGGACTGATCGAGACGGCAATGCTTCGATCGAAAGGTATCTACGTAAGGTCAGGTCGAGGTTCGAAGAAAGGGGCTTCAGGATTCGAGCTCCAAGTACGATCAAGGACCAGTTCGGTATCATTATCGGGCCCATGACTAAATCTAACCACGAGACAAAAGGTTGTCGGAGATGCACAGACCGACCAACACCCACCCCGAATATCAAGACTCCGAGTCAGGATCGAGCTCGAGTCAAGGCCAATGGCTCGACCTGATATCGAGTTCGAATCAGTATCGAAGCTCATAGACAAGGCCGCTACAGCCGCACTAAGGGAGAGAATCCTAGCTGGAAGTAGGGAAAAGACAATATATCATGGGCTCTCCACTACGTATTTTTTATTGTTGTATATAAAGTAGGATCCCTCTACTATAAAGGATGGATGGATTGTAAGTAGAGGAAGATTGGAACAAAAGATTTCTTGCATATTGAAAGATATCCCGTTATGTTTATTTCCCTTTATCTTATTCATTCTTCTTCTCACTATTCTCATTCTCATAGTCAAGAATACATGTATTTATATTTCTCTATACGATTCGTATCAAATTATATCACATATCCGTAGAACCATACACAAATTTAACTCTATTCAATTTTTCGGGTAAACAGTTTGGCGCCCACCGTGGGGCTAAGGGTAACAGTGGTTGTTTGATATAAATCTGCAATATACACCAGTTTACAACTTCAAATCAACAATGGCAAACCCTCGATTGATGGCTTTACCTATTGACCACGAAGCCGGCCTTCAAGATGAAACCAACAACTTGACACCCAGGGTAGAAAGGCGAATTAACGATGTCACCGAAGCTCAAGTCGAAGTACCGCTAGATGTCAATTCACAAGTGGCTCTTGAGGCGAACCAACGTTCCGAACCGAAAAAAAGCATTCAGGGCGGTACTCGATCCGTAGCTCGAGACACCCATAACGTGGAGGAGATCAGAGTCAGCTTACGGATGATCTTCGAGATGTTACAAGCCCAGCAAATAGCGATAGCTCAGTTGCAGAGCCAAACTCAGGTACAAAGCAGGCCGGAGCTCAATCCGCTTCGAGAAATCACCCACAGAACGGAACCAACCATAGTGAAGTCAAATGAGCAAGAATCGGGAACTACTCCCGAAATTACTAAATTGCTCGAGGAACTCACAAAACGAGTCGAAACCAACGATAAAAAAAGTATAAATATATAATTCCAGGGTTGATCAGATCCCGGGAGCTCCGCTAATGATAAAAGGGCTAGATTCGAAGAAATTCATTCAAAAGCCTTTTCCCTCGAGTGCAGCCCCAAAACCAATCCCCAAAAAATTCCGTATGCCCGAAATACCCAAATATAACGGAACGACTAACCCCAACGACCATATCACTTCTTACACGTGTGCCATCAAGGGCAATGATTTGGAAGATGATGAGATCGAATCTGTATTATTGAAAAAATTCTTTTGCTATGCTTGCAGATTGCTTCGTAAAAGCACATGCCGGAGCCATAAAGGTCGAAACCAGAAAGTCGGACTTGTTCAAGGTAATACAAAAGGATAACGAGATGCTAAGGGAGTTCGTATCTCGTTTTCAAATGGAACGAATGGATCTGCCACCAGTCAGAGACAATTGGGTTGTTCAAGCTTTCACTCAAGGTCTAAACGAGCGGAGCTCGATGGCTTCACAGCGGCTGAAGCAAAATCTGATCGAGTACCCAGCTATTACTTGGACCGATGTGCACAATCGATATCAATCCAAAATAAGAGTCGAAGATGACCAGTTGATTTCTAGGTCTGTTACGAAAAGAACTACCAAGCAAAAGTCGGCCAGAGATCGATACCAACCTTATAGCGGAAACGATACTACTGCTGAGTGTCCGAGGCCTCTTTAAAATCAACCCCGTATACTGGGGGGGGGCTTTATCATGGAACGCTCTGTGATGATTATCAAGTTCTGTGCAAAGGAAGTTACTTCGTTATTTCATGACAAACAATGTCTCAACAGGAAACGTTGTAAGAGCCAAATGGTCAAAACGAACCATGCTTATGTAGTTGGCCCGAGCCCTGACGCAAAACATGAACACATGTATAATGACTTGCAAAGAAAGTCCTCTTCTTTACCGATATTCTATGTTCAAGATTTATTATACAAACAGGATCGAGTTCGAGCAAGCACTCACTCGATCATTACGCCTACGGGCTACATTATTTCGAGTTTGAATCATTCACTCGACTACTAAGCCTACAAGCTACTTTTTATTTCGAGTTCGAGCAAGCACTCACTTGACTATTACGCCTACAGGCTACATTGCATCGATTTTGAATCATTCACTCGACTGCTAAGCCTACGGCTAAGCCTACAGACTACTTTGACCATTACGCCTACGGGCTACATTATTTCGAGTTCAAATCATTCACTCGACTACTAAGCCTACGGGCTACTTTTATTTCGAGTTTGAGCAATCACTCACTTGACTATTACGCCTACGAGCTATATTATATCGAGTTCGAATCATTCACTCAACTACTAAGCCTATGGGCTACTTTTATTTCGAGTTCGAATCATTCACTCGACTACTAAGCCTACGAGCTACTTTTATTTCGAGTTCGAGCAAGCACTCACTCGACTATTACGCCTAGGGGCTACATTGCATCGAGTTCGAATCATTCACTCGACTGCTAAGCCTACATGTTACTTTTATTTCGAGTTCTAGCAAGCACTCACTCGACCATTAAGCCTATGAGCTACATTATTTCGAGTTCGAATCATTCACTCGACTACTAAGCCTACGGGCTACTTTTATTTTGAGTTCGAGCAAGTACTCACTCGACCATTACGCCTACGGGCTACATTATTTCGAGTAAAACTACTCATTTCTTCGAATTCAAACGAACACTTGACTATTCAAGCTGAAGGATGTTCGAGCCCGATAAAGCAAAGGGGACTACCCACAAGGCCCGAAGTCAACGGAGATTAAAATTCAAACTATCTATTTAGTTTGAAAGGCTATTTTACTTCAAAAGGAAGAAAGATTTATATTTACAATTTTTTTTGTACAGAGGCGGCTACTCTGCCAAAAGGAAGTTCTTTATACAAAAACCGAAAGTGGTATCAGAAGAACGCAACAAAAGACCTAAGGCCCTAAATGACTCAATCTTCATCGGAGACCGTATTCTCGGCATCATCCTCATCTTCAGACTCCCTCGAGTCATCGGAGTCCTCCTCAGGAAAGGCCAACCTCCGAGCTTTGTTCTCCTTCGCCCTGGCGACTTCAATTTCGGCCCCAGTATCGAAGCCCTGAGCTCTGACCTCCTCGAGAGCCTCTCTCCGAGCTTTCCATTTTGCATGTTCGACCATGCTCTCAACTTTGGCTTGGTTAACCTCGACATCGATTCTAAACTGAGCCACTTTGGCATCAGCTCTTTTATTGGTCTCGATCATCTCAGATCTTGTCACTTCAAGTTCTTTGGCCAAATCTGCTTTATCTTAAGTGGCCAAATCCAACCGATATTGAAGCTCTTTCATCTTTTCGATCAGCCCCAAAGCATTTTCTTTCGCAGATCGAAGTTGGGCATCAGACAGCTCCAACTGAGCTTCGACAGCTTCCTTTTTCGAGGCAAAGATATCCATACACTTTTTAAATTCTTCTGCCTTGGCAAGTAGCGCATCTACCTGTGAGTTAAGCCGTCCAATCTGCTCGATCCTCTGCCGAACCTGCAGAATCGGATCATTAATGGTTATCTCTTTTTCATCTTCACTATCAGGGAACATTCGAAATACCTGCTCATCCATCTCCTCATGCTCTTCCCGAGTCGCTGTCAAATCTGCTCGAAGTTTTTCACTAAGGAGCTTGTATGAGTCACTCTTCTCTGTGAGGCTCCGAACCTCGGCATCATGCTCCTCCCGGATTCGAACAAAGGTCTCGTGATGCAACACCGAAGCCTGCAAACAAAATAAGAAACATTAGAATTACCTATAACTCTATGTATAAAAGAAGCAGCGAAAACGCCAACAGAGTTACCCGATTCAAAGCATGTTGGGCCTCGTTGAAGAGACAGGCGGGCCCCACCGCATTCATCACTGATTGATCTTCTTCGATCACCAAGGACCGTAGGTAGCTTGCAATCCCCACAGGGGAACAATTCGGGTATCCGCACGTATGGAGAGCACTATCTTCCGCCTTCGGTCGGGATCGATGCTCGAGGCCGGAAATTGGTCCACCAGTTTATGAATCGATGAAGGCTCGGTAGAACCTGACCACAACGCTTTTTTGGGTATCGGCATTCCACCAAAACCGGTAACCTCCTCCGAGGCACCTGACTCGAGCCCCTCCAGAAAACCATAGATATGGGCCGACTCCTGAATACCCTCATAGGATCGATCCTCCAACATGACGGCCTCTCGAATCATGGCATCCGAAATCTGAGGGGATCCGCCAATGTCAACTATCCCAAACTCATCCCTTGAAATATCTTCTACTGCCCGATAAGATCCACCCCTGGTGTCCCTTTCAATCATCTTAGTTCGAGAAAGGATAATCTCAGCTTCTTATTGTTCTGGGATTATGGCCAAGGTTCCCTGATTTGCTTCCACCAAATTGGAAGACTGTTGAATCACGACATTAGCCCGTACGCAGGCCAAATTCTCCTCTCCTTCGGGCTCGTCCCTTAAATGGCGGGCCACTTTCGAAGTCATAACACCAGAGCCCCCCTTCGGCTTTCGAGATCTCTTAGTCGGTTTCTTCTTCTCCGAGCTCGGGGAGCCTGATACGTCTTTTCTCTTCCTTTCTTTTACCTGCTTCAGGACAGGAACTTCTTCGCCACCAGATGAGGGCCTCATGACTACATCTTTCCCGAGTCCTACAAAAGGGAAGAGGGAGATTTACCATACAACCCGATGAAGAGACAAATCGACAAAATAATTTACCATGACTGTGGGCCTTCCATCAACCCTTTGATAATTCGACCCAAGTACGCTCGGAGTACGGTCTCTGCAACACCAAACTTTCGACCCATTATCTAAGATCCGGGATCGGTTCCAGCGTTCGAGCTACGGCTGTGATAAGGAAAGAAAAATAGATCAACAAAATAAAAGGCAATCACAAAATCAAAACGGGCAAAGAGAAACGTTCACTCACGGCTCATATTCCATTTCTCGGGAAATGACAAGTCATCGGTAGGGATCAGGTTCGAGGTTTTGATTCGAACAAAACGGTCCATCCAACCCCTATCCTGGGTCTCGTCTATGCTCGAGAATGGCGCTTTGGTTGCTCGGCGAGCAAGCTTGATCAACCCTCCTCGATAAAGTCGGGGACTGTAAAGGCGCATAAGATGATCGAGGGTGAAGATACGCCCCTCGACATTACTCGAGAAAAATTGAAGAAAAATTACTATCCTCCAAAAGGAAGGGTGAATTTGGCCGAGGGTCACATCGTACCTCTTACAAAAGGCAACGATGGCAGGGTCTAAAGGTCCCAACGTGAAAGGATAAGTGTAAAC